CTTCAGAAGTGTGCTGTGGACTTTGTGTGGCACACAGATGTGTAACAAGACTTCAGAGTCAACACCTGTGTATTTAGCAACTCTGTCAGGCACAGAACAAAAGCCCCTGGACGTTCAGCAGTACAGAGACTCGTAAGTGAAACCACTGCTGAAGAGGTGGTTAAAATAAGGGCTTTTCTCATTTCTCACTGCTGGAAGAAAATAGGTGGTTATTGGTTTCAGTTTGACTCGTAAGTTCTAAAGTACTTGGCTCAACACTGAAGATAAAGACATTATAGCTGAGCTGCGTGCCAGGACAGTCAGCATGGCCACTTCCCCAGGTGAGGGCTGTGCAGTGCCCTGAAGCAGCTTGTTTTCAGGATCTAACTGCCTCTTACTCCATGGTTGAATGCATTGGAACAGTGATAGTGATTTGACATTCCCTTAAGGAAGTGTTTGCTTAGTAGCAGCCCCCAGAAAAGCCTAATTTCATCTGTTAGAAGTAAATGGACACAAGAGTGGAGCTGCTGTGGGTCCAGTCACCAGCAAATACCATCAGCAGCAGGTGATTTAGGGAGGTTTGCAGAGCAATTTGCCAGTGTGCCTTTGTAAATGGAAATAAGTTTTGGTTTTCCTCCTACTTAGCATATTTTGCAATAAGAAGAGCATTGTGTAACATTTGTACTTGCTAACTGCTAACATTTATCAAAGGTTGGCTGATTTTGGTGCTTTATTGGCAGATCTTTGGGGGGCAGCACACAAGTCATGGCAGACCATGTCAGCAACAAAACTCACATCAGGTGAAATTCAGAATTAGAATTTTTTTGTATGAGAAGATCTGGATTTTACTCCAGAGCAGATGCCTAATAAAAGTCTTTAAAATCGGTGTTTGAGATAAATATTGAAAATAGCCCTGTGTTTTGTTGCCACTAGTGATGCCTTAAGGGACTTCTCCGTAGTAAAATTAGGCTTTCCTCTGGATGCTTTTCCTAGAAGAGGATATTTTTGCTGATTGAATGCCAAGTCAACATCAAAACAACAAATTGAAGCACTTAACTGAGCACAGGACAGCAAAAATTGAAGTAGTTGTCTATAAACCGTGAAATTTGTTAAATCATGTAATCCACAGCCCAGTTTGCTCCCTCCCTGCTGCTGCTTCCCAGTGAGAAGTCCCAGATAACCAGCCAACACTTGCACAGTCTCACGGAGTAAACCATGGACAAGGCAGCACTTGTTGAGAGGGGGCAGCAGAAGGACAACTTTGGTGATTCCTTGGCTGGCATCCCGCAGCTCTCCAGGGACATGTGTGAACTTGTTGGGAACACAGTGGTGGAACGTTTGGCCCAGAGGAAGGGGGAGGCAGTGTACAGCACTGAGCTGTAGGATGTTAAGGCATGGTTTGCAGGGAGGAGTGATGGTGTTTCTGTCACAAGCCAGCTGAGATAGGTGGGCAGAAGGACTTGAAAACTCACGAGGCTCACGCTGATAAGGACAAACCTAATTAACTCTGACTCAGTCATCAGATTAGTGCTTGTTTAGAGCCTCCCCTCCAGGGCTGCTCTCTACATGATGCTGTACAGGAGACTTGCAGGTTTGTTTTCAATAGAAATTGGGCTTTATTTGAAAGCAAGAAGAGGGATGATGCTAACTGAGGACAAGACTTAAATGTCAGACCTGAACCTACTGCTGAAGTGAGCTGTTAGAGTGTACAAATACACCCAACAATAATGTCTGGTTTACAGCCCTTGCTGTGTTTTCACTTTGCACAGAAGGTAGAAACTGTATTATTTTCTTAAAAGGAGACTTGAAAACAAAAACTGAACTCGAATTAGAAGTTTAGCTTCAACTTTTCAGACTCTGCTGTCAAGAAAAGTCTGTACACGCTACCCTGGCACTCTCTTCTGGGTCTCTTAAGATCTTTTCTCTCAAGCCTTGCCTTCTGCAAGCATCGACAGCTGTGGTGTAGTGGGGATTTTGATCTCTTAAGAGAAGGAACTTTTACTCCCAAAATGGACATGTGTGCATGACCATATAAAGTGTTCAAGTGGAAAAAGTTGTTACTTCATGACTCCTTTGTGATTCATGGTTTCCTCCGAATCATTACTCTGGTTCAGTGTCATTTTCTTAGCTCCAAAGGTACAGAGGGGAACAGCAGTAAGATCACTGATGCTTCACTCAGTTGGCTGCAAATTAGACCCTTTCAGGGTTGTGGGGCGAAATATTTGGCATAAAATAGGTGGGAAAATAAGAGTTGCAGGGGGAAATTAAACAGGGGTTTAAACAAAGCTCCTCAGTTCTCTAGGAATTTCCACCATTTGCGTTTCTGCCCAGCCTGTGTGCACAGGGTGGTAGCATAAGTGGGATTTTCTGTCTTGGCAGGACTGGGACTGGTGGCTGCCTCTGTAAATCTTTTGAGTATCTGCAGCCTAGACGTGTTTTAGAGCTTGCATGCTTGGGAAGGCAGCGTTCAATAGCATCAAGGTTAATTTCTAAAGGAAGTTATTGTTACTAAGTAGCCAACTTGCTAAAAATACAATTGATCTGTAAAGACTGGAGGCAAGGCACTGACTTGCCTGCCCTTTTCTAATAAAGCCAGTGATGAAACAGTTACAGTGATTTTTAGTTGGCTCTCTTAGCCCAGGGGTGGCAGAGCCGTTTCCCAGGAATGCAGGGCGGGGAGGAAACCCACCGCTTTGTCTGCTTTTCGCACCAACTCAAGCTCTTATCGGAAGCTGATGTATTTAGTGACTCCCTTTCCTGAGCTGGAGGCAGGAGCGGTTTTTGAAAGAGCGACTCAGAGCCCAGAGCATCAGCAGGACCGGGAGTGCAGCCAGGCAGGACGGAGCCCCTGGGGATGCTCCACTGAGCGCCCTCCCCAGCTGCTGAGCACCCTCCCCAGCTGCTCTCCTGCTCGAGGACCCGCAGGCTCTTTCTGGCAGGAGCAAAAGGGCCACCTGGGAAACTGAGGCAGCAGCTGGCCCATCCTAGTGATACTCCTTGTAGCAGGGAAGGTCAAGGTTGGTAAGTTGCTCTGCAGCTAATACAAGGTACAGCTCAGCTTGGAAAGGATCCTGTGGGCAGTTGGTGTTGTGCTTGGCATTGTCAAGTAGAAATCTTAGTTAAAATTTAAGACTCTGGTAATGTAGAGGTGGGTTTAGCTGGTTTAATTTGCTTATTTTGAGTTACTGCCTAGATCTGGTCACTATCAATGTTATTTACCAAACTTGAATATTTGATATGGTTTAATCAGGCTTGCCTAAATATTTAGAGATATGCTTGATCTTCGGGTATGATTTTTTTTCTGATTTTGCCTTATTTGAGAAATTTAATGCTATAAGAACTATCAGAAGCCTCTAAGAAAGTAATTGTTAGTCCTTTCTAATAGATGGGGTGGGGGGGCAGGATAGGGATTGAATGGTTACCAGTGGTCAGTGGCTTGAGTTGGTGTTAAAACTTAGATTTGAACAACTTGGATTAAGGTCCCTTCCAACTCAAACCATTCTATGATTCTGTGATTTTTTTTTTTGTCATTACTGAGGTTTCTGTGCTGCCTGCTAGATAAATGTTCAGCCTGTTTTATCTACATCTCCAAAATGTTTAGTTACATTCCTCAGGCATAAATCTGGTTATTTTGCTAGTATTTACTTTTTAACATAGCTAAACATAGTGGCTCACATTCTTTTTAACTGATGTAGTAATAAAATTCTTTCAGTATATCCAGAAAATTCTGTGGCAGACAATTTAGGTACTGTTTTGAAAATTTTTTGCTTCATATTTTCAAATCTAATTTAAACTACTGCCTGAGTTGAAAGGTGGCACTTGTTGCACGTCCCGCACAGAAGAAGCTTTCCCAAAGCTGCGTCTATGTAGGCAAATCCAGGAGCCAGTCTTTACTTTTTAGTTCATCTCCTGCTCTAGCCCAAAGTGTGCCAAAGTGGCAGTTTGTTTCAGTACTGCCTGCACAAGCAGAACCAGACTCACACTGAAGTAGGGATTTTGTTGTAATTAGCTCCAGGGACACACAGCAGTTTTACAGGTAAATTGGTTTAAACTTTAGTGCTGAGACCAAGAGGTCAAAACTTAAGTTCTTTCTCCAGCAGGTTCAAGTTACTCTCTCAGGGGCTAGCTAATTTACACTTTCCTTTCTCTTTAAATATAAAGAAGTTTTCAAACCTGTTGTGTGGGGTAGGTGAAACTGGCTGGTACTGTGCACATGAGTCATTAGGGATCATTCTGCATATGAAGCTGTGCTCTTTGGGTGGATTCGGAAACTGATAGGGCTTGACAAATTCAAATAGCTGCAGGACTTCCCCTTTTGTTCCTTTCCAGGAAAGGATCAGTTCACCTGCTCACTCAGTACTACTGTTAAAGCTGTTAATTTATAGCCTGCATCTACTCATTTGGGATGAAGGCTGCCGCAGCTTTAGCGGGTTTTCAGCTCTTGGAAGAGTTGGTGGGGAATGTGCTAATCATTGCCATCAGCACTGGCTAATTCTTTTGGGGAGCTGGGGGGGTGGGTGTGCTGTCTTGTGAAGGTTTCCATTGTGGTTGATTGTGACTCAGCTTCTCTTTCCCCCTGTCTCTGACTCAAGGATATCACCATGTTAGGAGTTTGCCAGCAGCGCGATGGAGACTGGCAGTTCCCTTGAGCTAGCAGGTCCCCAAGTTCCTCCCCATGCTGTGCCACTCCTAGAGATGGCCAGAGTCAAAGCATCCTCAGTGCCCCAGCAGATCTGTCCCAGTTGTTCTCACAGGGCTGTTTGCCAGGCACTGGGCAGCTGGCTGCAGCTCAGGTAGGACAAAGCAGATCAGTTTGGACAGGGCGGGCGAAGGGGCACGGTCACATTAGCGTTACACAGCAGCCGTTTAGGATGTCCATGCAGGGCTAATTTTAAACACTGGTTTCCTGAAACTTCTAAGAAGTGGAAGTGGTTAAACTCAAGACCAGGTTTCTCAACTTAACTGGTACTTAACACTTCTCATTTATAGGTTTGTGCTGTAAACAGCTAATTACTGCCACAATGACATCTTCAAGCTCTGCCCAGCATCCAGCAGCTGAGAATGCCTGCAGAATCGCACTGGGACAAGTTAACCAGGTAATCATCTCCCACTTATGTTCTCCTCCCTAAAGCAGTGATTTCTTCCATCAAATCAAAGCTCCCTTGAGTACATCTAAGTAAGAAGATTTTAGCCTGATGGAGTAGGGCTTTTATCCTCAGGAGCTGTTTAGCTTGCACTATCAGATCAATGTTTTACGAATATTTTAGAGGAGAAGAAAGGGGAAAAGCAGTTGAAATAGGCCATACAATAAATTATATAATACATATTTTTGTGCTGGACTTGTACTTGAATGGAGTCTACCTAGGTAAGTACTGAACATGTAGTACTCCTGTTATCAACTATTCCTGAAGTGTCCCTGGAACAAGAGGTGGTTGTAGCTGTGAGCCAAGGCCAACATGGTAGTTGCATAGTTTGAGTATGGCTGTGATCCATGTTGACAGAGAAGAGAAAGTTGCTAACAGTAACAGTAGAAATCTGGTCTAAAAATCAGACAGGTTTCTCCAAGACAGGCATCCAACCTTCCAGAGTCAATTAATCGTAAAAAGCATCTCCACAATATGAGGGGATGTGGCAGGAGTAGAAATAAGCTGATGGGAAGTTGAGAGAGCCTCCTGTTCGAGGCTTAATGTAGAAGCTTTGAAGTGTAGCCAAGTCCTGTGCAGAGTTGATGTATATGCTTATTTATTCAACTCACTCTGCATGGAAAAAAAAAAAGTAAATAGCCTCTGATATTAGTAGCAAAATATTGATTGTCAACACTCAGTGTCCTATGCAGTGTGGAACAAACACTTTCATTTTGGCTGTACTGCAGCAGCCAACAGCCCATTTTAAAATGATCAAGCTAACTAGGTTACTTCTTTAATCAGAAAGAGATGCATAAGAAATTACTTCAAAATGCATTTGAGAGTGGTCATTAGAGAAATGAATGAATGCAAACACATAATTTCATCGTATTAAAAAACATGTGCTGATACAAGCACTTATTTCAGTTGTGCTGAGCTTTTTCCTAGGGAAAAAGCTGTTCTTGAGGAAGAGCCTTGTGGCTGGACACGAGCTGTTCTGTTTGAGCTTGAAAGTGCATTTAACAAACATCATAATGAAAAAACGGGCAGAGCAGACACATTCACAGAGGAGATGAATCTTTTACAATATTAGAAAACAGTGGAACAAACACCTTGCCAAGATACTGATAGCTGAGTGACAAATTACATTTGAGACAAGCAACTGAAACCTGCTGCTTTCCTTACCTTGTGCAGGAAAATGGTGCTGCAGCTCAGACTGTCTCTGGAGGAGATGTTGCGGGGCTCTGCTCCTTGGAAAAGGAAGTGGAGATTGCAATTGCATTTATGTAGGCAGAAAGGAAGGGTGGGTGTGAGACAGAGTGAACCCACCTGACGTTGATAGGTGAAGGCCTTTACTAGTTGGCACAGATTACGTGCCTTGTCAAGGTGTAGGGGAAATGGCAGTGAACATTGTGTGCTGAGAATTGGACTTTCGGTCCTGTGACAGATCGAAATGTCGTGCTGTAGTAGCATCTGATAGACAAGGGGAGCAGAGGAAGAGATTCCATCTGGGAAACGTGCATTAGGAGACAGTATTGTACAAAATTGTATAGCATTCTGAGAACGGTGGGGGCTTTCTGACGTTTTTGGGGAACACAAGGCATCAGATCATGCGGTGGCACTCTCCTAGGAATTGTTAAAATTCTTGTGGAGTAGATGAAGTAGGAACGTAGGGGAAGTAGCTATTTAAAACTTGCTGCTGTTTTATATAGCATCACCTGTCTCATCTGCTGCTGAAAGCTGCTTGGGCGTGTGGGTGAAACCTAAAGGGGTTGTGGAGCAGTTGCATCTTTCCCAGAGTGCTTTATATTTTATATAACAAAGATTTTGGTTGATGAGTGAGATCCACAGAAAATACAGGTTCTGTGCCTTGGTGTTAATTAACCACGCCTTGTGTTTAATGGAGTCTTATGATTACGTGCCTGTGCATGGATCCTAATAAATGCATCCTCCCTGAGGTCTGCACGGAGCAGACCCCGTTTGTTCCCTGCACTAATTGGGAAAATTCAGGCGTGCTGGATGCACCATCATTGCTCCTGAGTACATGACTCAGTACATTTGCTTAGTCACTGCCTGGGACTCCATCCCGAGGGGCTGAGTTTCCAGTCTTCTCTCCCAGGATGAATGGCATCAAAGTTAATGGGACGTTGTGGGTGATTAAAGCCTTTAGAGCTGGCTGCCCAAATTCCTTTGCTTTTTTTTCAGTCTTGCACTCGAGTCAGAATGATCGTGCTGATTTTCAGTCCTTCTAACTTCTTTTTCAGCGGTTGTCCATGCAGATTACTAGTAAAAAAGAATACCTGAGGCAGGCAGTGTTTCCTCACAACCTCCAGCTCATACCACGGTGGTCAGCTCTGTGCTTGGTGCCCCGGTCTGGCACAGGTTGACTTGGGCAACTCGGGTTTGTTAGCTGTGACACGCAGGCACGCGTGCCAGGGCGACGTGCCTTGTCTCGGTAGGGCACTGCTTTGTGTTGTTCAAACAAAACCCTCTGCTTTGTGTTTTAGGTGCGACCCAAACTGCCGCTTCTGAAGATTCTGCAGGCTGCAGGTGCCCAAGGTGAAACCTTCACGCTGAAGGAGGTGGGCTCAGTTTCTAGGCGCTGAAACCGTGCCAGTCCCTGGTTGGTGGGGAGATGGCTCTTTGTGGGGAAGAGATGGGACTGGTGATTAATTGGTACTTCAAAGCCCTGTCTGCAAAACAGGGATACCTTACCCATAGGGCTGTTGTGATTTGGTTGGTCAGAAATTGTATTGAGATCCCCAGGAGGAATTGGAATAGCCGTGTGAAGTATTACATAGAATTATTTATCCTGGAAAATCCGAAACCTCTTTAGAGAAAGGAGACATGAGATAGCCATGTTCCTGAGAGCATGTAGGAGATTCTGTTCCGCTGTCTTGCTCTCTGCTCAGGGCATGAAAGCCTTAAAAATTGAATTCTAGTTGATATTTTTCTTTAACTTTCCTTTGAAATGGCTTGTCAGCTAAACCTAAGAGACCCTGTGCATTCATTTATTTTAAGATTAAAATGCAATATGTGTACGAGATTAAAAAAATGACACTGACTGTGATTTACAAGAGTATCCTGTCTGCAAAGAATTAAATGCAGTGGTTTTTCATTATGAATGTGTCAAATATTCCTGCAGAGCCCTGTGACTTATTTTAAACACTTATGCATTTAAATAACTTATTTAGCTTCTAAAAATTTTTGCAAAAACAAATTGAATGGTTTAAATGGGGGGAGCTGAGTATTAAATGCAGGTTACTTGTATAGATTAACATTTTACCACAGTTAAGTCAGTTTTTTCTGCAGTGAGTTGCTGTTAGCAACTTTTTGGTGACACTATCATTCAGGAGGGTCACTTTGGTGGGTAATGGGGGGTGGAACCTGCCTATATTGTGCTTAATGCACTTTGCTTTCTCTTCTTGTACTCTGGATTCCTCACTATAGCTGGCAGTGTCTGCTGGCTCTTGGAAGATGTTTCCTCTCCATCCTGCTTTGTGGTGCTAACACACTTATTTTTCCATCTTGCAAACCTGAGGGAGATTTGGTGGTTTGATTTCAACTGCAGATGTGGCTAATGGTATGTTATGTATCCACAGGTCATGCATTACCTAGGACAGTATATAATGGTGAGGCAGCTATATGACAAAAGACAGCAGCACATGGTCTATTGTGGAGGAGATCAGCTAGGAGAACTGCTGGGGCTGGAGAGCTTCTCTGTAAAAGATCCAAGGTAGGAAAAAGTGACCTTTAATGTAAGTTGTATTGTAGAGGTTGCAGAGACAGGAGACTCTTGGTGTCACTGTTACTGTTCACTGTTGCATAAAGCTCCGTGAATACCAAGTGTCCTGCTCGGTGGCTCATTGGTAATGAATGTGACAAGTTGAGTTGAGCCAATTCTGTATGGTCCAAGCAGTGAGCTGCTCGAGGTGACATCTTTTCCCCCTTTTATTTCTGCATCTTCTCAGGCACTTGATCTCACACTTAAGCGAAAATCTGTATCCTTCAGTGAAGTTCTGAGCTAGACTTCTCTGTAGCAAGCATTTAGATGTGGCAAAAAAAAACACCACTGCATTTTTCAGCGTGTCTCTGGATAATAAAAGAGAATTTTTGTCCCTGGTTTAAAAGGGTAATGCTTTTTTGTTTTTTTGAGTGTACTCAACTGTTGCCTTCTTTCCCACAGCCCAGTCTATGACATGTTGAAACGGAACCTGACTTCTGCTGCAATGGCAGGTAGGTTTGTCACAGTATGGGCAAGTATATTCAATATAGTGTTGATGTAACCTGGGTAAGTAATGATATTCAGAAAAGAGAAATGTTTCTGAAGCTGGAATTCCTAACGAAGGTTTTGACAAGACAATCTTTGAGTATGTGTCTTTTGTGTGTGTCTACCACCAGTAGCTGTGATATGAAATCAGTTAGCTGTTTGAGTCACGTGGCTGCCTATAACCAGTGTCCAAACCTCGGAGCAGCAGACACACTATCTGGAAGCACACGGACAGAGCTAAATGCTGTGGATGTACTAATGAAAATGACTGAAGTATCCCATCCAAATAATAATTTCTCAGTCTTTTCTCAGTTTCATGGCATGCTGCGACTTCTCGCTCTCACCTTATTTTATACTTGAAACTGACTGTAAGATTACTGGAAACCCAGCCTAGTTCTGCAAGCCAAAGAGGTCTGGACTTTAATCAAACACTTGAACCTTTAAAGGTCATTACTACTTTCCCAGCTCATAAGAGAAATCAAATCTATCTACATGAAAAGTTCTTCAGTCACAAATTAAAATTTATTCTTAAATTAATCTCAGCTGATGGCTTCCTTGCAGACAGTTTCTGTCGTATGGCTGGTAGTCTTCATTTGAAAAAGAATTTCTGATAAAACTGCAAGCGTGCACATCATGAGGGAGCTGCACCGGGAGGGTTGTGCAGTCTTGTGCCATACTTCCTGGGGTCTCTAAGCAGATAATATGGACTTAGTTCTTCATAAGGGCTTAGTCTATTTTTGCACACGTTCATAAAAGCTTGTGCAAATTTAGAAACTGTTTGAGAAAACATGGCCTTAAACTGCTTGGTCCTCTGCTTTGGGCCATATATCGTTGCCTCTGAGGTCCCCTTCCTTTCTCTGTTTATATAGAAGAATCTTCCTAAGCAGACTCTTGTCTAAACACGTTACCTCCAGAATAACCGTGTGGGTGCTGCTTCCCTCGCTGGTGATGCCCTGGCTTCTTCCTTATAGGCAGTGTATGTTGAGAGCAAAGGATCCCAGCGAAACACTCTCTCCTCTGCTGCCCTGTCCCCTTCTGCTTGGTGCGTGCATGTGGCTGTGTGTGTGTGCCTGGGTGTGCCTGTATGGTCCAGTCATGGTGTAACTATTTTTAAACCTGCCAAAGGAAGCACTGTTCCTTTAGGGAGATGATCGCTGAGTTATACCACCGTGTCTGCATGTGTATGTGTGTGACTATAAAGCGAAACAAGCTTGGCAGACCAGACCTTTGACAAATAAATAGGCAGAATGACTCTAGGTCTTGTTTTCCCTTTGTCACAACGTAGGAATAACTGGACGTGCCATAGGGCTTAAAGAGGTCTTCATGTTTCCTAATAGCTGCACGTATTCATTACCCAAATCAGTGCTTATCAGCATACTGCTTTGCAGATTATCTCAGCCACTTCTTTTAAGTACACTTGCAGAGAGAAAAGTGACTGCAGTACATCCTGATAATAAAGACTAAGCTCTTGCATAAGACTCTCCATCAGATGGTGGCCTTACTTGGCTGGCTTTCGCTCCAAGCGTGACTGACATGAGGTGTATTTAGGAATACCTCACTTTAAGGACATTTGGTATAGTATATGTTGGCTTCAAAAAAGGAAGCCTTCCAGTAAGTGGAGTGTCGTTTCACACAGTGTTTAAGGCTAGTTTGTATTATTTATAAATGTTTGAAGGCTAAGTCTTCACCTTTTCTAATGCTCCTGCAGAGCCAAAGCAAGTACGGATGAGCCAATTGGCTTCTGTTTTCCTTCAGGTATTAAATAGTCAGCAACTGCAGGAGCTGTAGGGTGATGGAAAGGAAGAAAGGAAAGCTGAACTAATGCATGGAGGGCAAAGAATATGGGGTAGAGCCATGTCATTTTGTGGTCCTGTGTTTTGGCCCATTTTATGGACCACTTTGTGGTCCACTTTTCTGCCTATAGCAGCAGTTTTCAGTGTCTTCATATCAGTGCTGTGATTCATGATGTGAATCAGACTGTTCGTGTCTGCCTGGCATTCAGCAGGGAATTTCTTTGCTAAATTGAAAGGGGAGCAAGCAGGAGCCATCCTTGCATCTTTTGTTCTCTAGCAAGTCATTCTGTTCAAAGGGTAGACTTCCTAAGTGCTGCTCTCCTATTATCTAGAAAGATTTCTGTTAATGTGATTGTTCTTGCTCTTTAGGTTGGCCTTTTAATTAACTCTTGGGGCCAGCATTATCATCTGGATTAAATGGTGTTCTGGATGTATACACAGCTAGCCAGGAAAGTGCTTGCTGTGCATGGAATTTTCCCTTCTTTAGTCTGGTCATTATTCTTCATGCCCACACCCTTTAAGAAAGGTGTTTTTCCTGTCTCAGCCTAAGCTGAAAGAGATGGTGCCTTCAGGTATTTTTAAAAATCTTACTCTTCTCTGTTCACTTTCTTCAGCATGGATCTGATCCAGCCTTGAAGTGAGAATCCTCACCCTCTGCCATTGCTCTTGGGTTTCTGCCTCCATGCAGACTTCTTGTGTAAAAGACCTAAAACTTGCAATAGCAGTATAGCCTGTAGGAAAAAGAATAGTTTTTCACGTTGGGAAGAAGGTTCTTACGTGCTGTGAGGTTTCATCAGCCCTCCTCTTTGAGGAGGCAGAGACTCTGTATTCCATAGGCTAACGCCTCCATACGTACCTCGTGAAGCTTAGGGAATACTGCAGTGATGCCTCTAGGAAATGGCCAGCTTTATAAGGAAGAAAAGGGCTCTGTTTCTCTTAAAGGGTTACTTAGAGGTCTGCCAAGCCTGGCTCGTTGGTTGCTTGCTGAAGACCCTCTGTGTTGTGAGAATGGTTATTACCAGGGAAGGTTTTTTCTTTTGTTTTACCTGCCATCTAGATGCTGCACAGAATCTCGCAAAGGAACAGAGCGTCGATAAGCCAAGCCAAGACCAGCTGAAGGTAAACCCACTGCCTGGTGGTTTCTTTTGTTGTACAGAGTGCCCCTTCTCTGTACCTGTGCATGGTGGACTACCAGAACTTTGTGCTGCTTGGCTGCCAGGTCCTCACCTTCCTGAAAAGTTCTTGGAGTCCACAGAGCAGGGACAGAGTGACCCTTCTCTGTTCTCTTCACAACAGAGTACCAGTCTCTGAGCGCGTTTCTCTGGGGTGTAGCACTTCTAGTCCTCAGTTCCTCCAGCGTGCTCTGTATTTTCATGTCTTTCTCCCTTCTCTCCCATCCCCTCTCCGAGTAGGAATTGCCACATAATTAAGCTTTCTAAAATGTGTGAACAAGTTTTGTGTTTAGTAGGATTGTTTTCAGAAGCTTTCAGGCAGAATCTGAAACCTAGGAAAAATCTTTGCATATTTACACTTGTTTCCAGGTATATTTTGGGATTAAGGTCGTCTGATCTGGGAGGTGTCTGTTCACATCCAGGGCCAGAGGGTCACAAAAATCACAGTATTACTGCATTAAAGATGGCGCCTTTTGGACTTTTACCAATCTTAAGGTTTTTCCTAGGTTGCAAGTATATTGTTTGTGCTGATTAAAGATGCATTAGCCTTCTTAAAGGGTTAATAGTGTGTAGTTTTTGTTCAGAAGCTTTTACTTCTCTTCATAACTTCTTGGCCTTTTGCTGCAGCTGGTGACTCGGAATGGAAGTGCTACATCCCCTTGTCCCTATAAGCTCTGATGAACTAACATCTGTTTTTTCCTTCCTTCATGCAGTTTAGCCATCAAGAAGGTTCTGACACCGGCATCGTGGAGGGTGAAAGCAATGCTTCTGCTTTGTCTACCTCAGAGCAAAAATGTGACAATTATGAAGGTGAGTCCCAGCTTTTCCGCAGTACCACAATATGTACAAGCTCTTCTGCTCCTTCCCAGTGTGACACGTTGAGCTCTACATCAGCAAAATGCTGGAGGAGGGTGTTGGGAGACTAGTAAAAACCTGTTGTGGAATATAATCTTTAAAAGCATCATTTTATGGTAAAGATTGAGAGAACTGCAAATGTTTGTCAAAGGTATTTTATGATAGAGGTGTTTTCTAGTGTGGATATTTGGTCTCATAAATAAACAAACATTTTGAATAAAATGGCAGGTTAAGCCCCAAAAGCACATCTATCACTAAACAATGCCGTGAAAAATCTTACAGACCTTGCTGAAGGGTATTTTAAATGCTGAAATTATACTTGTGTCTGTTTATCTTCCCAAGGGACTCTCTCCACCGATTACATAGAACACAGCCTGAGCCGTCTGCAGTCATTACCTGCAAACCAATCAGGGAACTGAATAACAATGGATTTTTTTTCCTATCCAGCTTAAGTGTAATACAGCTCCGTCATATTTAGACATTTCCTTTGTTTTAACATCTGGGGATTTCTTGCTGGTTCAGTCATTTGGATTTCTGATGTTATGGAAGTGATTTTCCTGTTCTTCTACTTTCTGTTCTCACGTCGTTCTCGTATCAAGGAACCTAATTTGTAAAACCAAATCTTCTTTGCAAGCATGGGTATTTCCAGAGCAAATGAGAGCAGAAGATATTTTCCTGGCTGCATGTACAAAGGAGGTAGAAACAGTCCTTGTCTGTGCCTTTGAAACTCTTGGCACTGGAGAGAGAGAGATTCAAGGTTATCTGGAAATTCAGGCTGCTGAGTTTAAGCTTGTAAACTAAACACACAGGCTAAAAAGGAGGCTGAAGCATGGGGTTGTGGAGGATGGGTTCTTGCCTATTTTGAGCCTGGTTTTGGAACTCAGGAGCTCCCATCACTGGAAATTTGAACCAAACTCAAACCAGTTCTTTTCTGCGTCTTGAGTCACTCAAGAAACCTACTCAGTGTTGTCTTGGGTAGAGCTCTGCAAGAATTGTTCATGTTTCTGTATTGAGTCTTAAGTGAGGTAAAGCTGAAGAGAACCTGTATGGTTGTAGAGACTGGGAACGCTGGGATGCTTCTCTGACCTCTGATGGCTGTGCAGTGACCATGTTGCCAGGTTCACGTGGCTAGATACTCGAGTACAGATGTGCAGCAGATCTGACATCCCAGCGCACTCACACGAACCCCAAAGCTCTTAGCAGTAACTGGCTGTGAGGAGCAAGAAAGATTTCTAAAATCGGATGGGGCCAATTTTTTCTCTGCTAGTCTCTTCAATAATGTAGGTGTGGCATGACTTAGATTCTACTTGGCTCTTACAGACAAAGACTTAATAGAAAACCTCTCTAAAAGCAAGAAGCCTAAACTGGACCTAGTGTTTGAGGAATGGGATGTAGCTGGTCTTCCATGGTGGTTTTTAGGCAACCTCAGAAGCAATTACAAGTCCAGAAGTAATGGATCAACAGATATTCAGACTAACCAGGTGTGTAGACATTTTAAATAGGTGCACTGTATTCTTTTCCTCTCCTCTTTTGGGTTCCAAGTAAATAAAATATTCTTCTTTCTTTCCCCTTCCCACTCCAGGATTTTCAGCCTCTCCCTTGTGTGTTCCTGTCCCTGCCTTTCACATCAGGTGGTTGGTTACCTTTAGTGTTCTTAAATAAACTAGGCACTCTCTGAAGGCTGTGTTCAGCCATCGGAGGTCCTTCTGCACTCCAGAGCATTGGTTGTATTCCAGGAGTTGCCCCTCTTCTGGGATAAAAGTTGTTACGCGGTGCACATGTCTGTAGCTTGGTGGCCAGCTGCTTCATGGCCAGCTAGCCAGGGGAAGAAGCATAGTGCTGCTTGCAGAAAGGGGTGTCTTTGTCAGAGTAATGAGCTGCCCCTTTCTCTCCCAGGGGTGGCTGGAGAAGCTGCCCAGGGCTCAGGAGGCTTTTAGTCAGGAAAAGGGGAAAGGCATTCGCTGTGGTGATGGCTGCAGTGCTGGTGCTGCCTGCTGCTAACCTGAGCTCTGAGTGGTCTCTTCTGGTTCTTCTCCAATAGGACATAGACACTGCCGTTGTTTCGGATACTACTGATGATTTGTGGTTCCTCAACGAATGCCCGTCAGATCAGAGCAGTGCTGTGGTCAAGGTGGAAACAGTTGACTGCGAGGAAGTGAAAGAAGGTGACAAAAAGGTACCTCTTCAAACAGCCACAGTGCGTGTGTTCCACAGGTTGGCCTTGTTTAATTGATCTCATGGAAGTGCAAAATCCTTTGCTTTTCATCTGCCTTTTGGTGCTGTGCTGATTTGGGAGGAGCCAGATCTATAACCATGCAGAGTTTGAACTGTGTTTAGAAAAGGCTGTCACCATTCTCTACGTGGGGTGATAGCTTTCCTGTGCAGTCAGTCTGCTTGGGTTTTGCTTTAAATGGGTGTATTTTCGAGGCACAAAATTCATTTAAAATTAATTCAAACTCTGGGAGCAGCTTTACTGTATTTCTAGCCAATATCTGCAAGATTAATAAATGAAAAGACTTGAAGAGGAAAATCTCAGTTTACTTTGTGTTAGTGTTCAGTGTAAGATAGGCTGGCCTGAGCCTGCTAGCTGAGGTGGTAATGAGGTTGGTCACAAGAGTAATTAATCAAAAGTGTGTTAAAAGAATTGAGTTAACAATTTCTTCCATGGAAATTAGTAGGACTGCTACTAATTCAGGTGCATATGTGTTGTTATTTGCAAGATTCTTGTGTGCATCAGAGAGAAGTATGAGTTGATCAAAAGAATATCGTCCAGCAATAGTTACTGACAACAGTGTGGAGGAGATACTGCACATAAAATGGCTTTTTGTTCATTTATAGAAAGGGCTTAATTATCATGGCAATTATGTTTAGTCTTTTTAGTTTTGGGGTACAGTGCCAGGCACATCATAAATACAGATTATTGCACCTCTCTAACAACATTTCCCCTCTTTCCAGGTGACTGAGGATGCGTGTTTGCATGACTTTGAGGATTCTCAGTGCTTAAGTGATGACACGGATACAGAAGCTGCTTCTGAGGTAGGCATCCTGTAGGTCAGCGGTGCTTGCTTGGAGTCTGCTGCATCCTAGCTGTAGCTGGAAAAACTATGGCTACTGTGGCGTGTGGCAGGAGAAGCCGATTCTTGTATGGGTTTCAAAGGCCAAAAAAATCAAGCCAAAAAAGTTTTTTTGTAATGTGTGTGGAGGAACATAGAGAAGTTGGCTTGACCTGGTTTGTTTTAGGTAGAGCTTTGTAAATTCTAAGCTGGATGGACATTGAGCACTGGCAGCCCATGAATGCTCTGACCCACCCAGTCCGAAGTGTCCCTCCTGGCCACAGAGCAGTCCTGGGACTTTGGTGATTTCAGCCACTTTTTGTGGCAATGTGAGAGAATTTATCCATGCCCTAGTAGAAGGGGATTTTGGCTAGGAGATTAGGGTCCTTGTTTCTACATTGTTTGTCCCTTTTGTGCAGGGTAGTGTAGTGTCAGCATGGACAGCCGCTGGCTTTTTGCTCGTGATTTAACTTGTCCCTTCCCACGCTCAGGAGATGAATGAAGGTTAGGCCCTCAGTTTCCAGAACGGTCAGGCTGTGTGAAGTTAGCATGAACAATACCCATGCATGTTTCAATAAGGTTAATACTGTATTGTCCTCTGAAAGGAAACATGGAGTATAGTCCTTGGCAGAGATTCGGAAATCCAAAGCAGGCATTTTGTAATCGCTGAAGTGCTCATACTCAAAAAAACCTTGTTAGTGGAAATTTCTGTGTCAGGATCAGGGTTCCACTGAGTCCTGGGTGTCCAGGCCAGCTCTGAAGCTGTCAGTTGTTTTGTGGTAGTCTCTGGGGTGAAAAAAGAATCCACTTCCCGTCTCACACCATTTTTCTGGGATACTTGTATGGCCTTTGTCAGGAGGAGAGCCTGCATGCCTCCTGTTGTGGTGTCTTTGCCCTTGCCGTGCCTCTCTAAGGACAGACCACAACTCTTTGCCCTGTTTAAATGAAAAAACAAGGTGGAAAGAGAGAATAAGCAGTAATTACTGGGTTGTCACCCTTCCCCACTACCCCATTCCTTTTCTGAAGTCCCTCATGATAGATACTGAGGGACATCAAATTTCTGTTCCTTCATCTGTCCTTTTTTTCTCCCAGTCCTGCAGGCTGCCTTTTGAGGTTTTGTTGTAAGTCAGCAAAAGTGTATCATAATACTCTTTGCAGCTGGTGGCACCAAAATTTTTTAGTGTCATTTTCTAGACTGCTGACTTGACAGATGAGGATGTCCCCGACATGGGGCAGCTGTATCGTAGCTCTGAACTTGGGCAGCTCTTGCCCTTGCTGTGTGGGGTAATCAAATAAGCTGCTATTAGTTGTGCAGATTCAACAGATGCTAAGTGATTAGTGAGTCTGGGAAATATATTCCTGACTGATTCCAGGAGCTCTACCCTAGAATTAAGAGTGAGATACTGAAAATCCGATAAACTGCACAGCATAAGAAAATTGCATTCTTCCAGAACAGTGAAGGCTAGAAGGCAGGCAGGAAGGAAGGAAGGAAGGACGGATATTTCCTGCTTAAGAAAAGATCTGTGTCTGTAGAATGCACAGGGGTAGTCAAATTCTCCTTAGGCTTTCTGAGGTGCTGATAATCAAACTAGCAATTGTGCATTCACAAGCTCATACATGGTAATAAATGTCCTTTTTTGATGAAGCTTCTTTACTGCTTTTGCTATGTAAAGGAAACGAGTCACATGCAAGAATACACTAACTTGCTGCTGGTTTTGTCTGCCTCGATCATTCCTCAGGACTGCTGGCAATGCACCAAATGCAAGAAATTTAACTCTCCAGGCAAACGGTACTGTTACCGCTGCTGGGCCTTACGGAAGGACTGGTACTCAGATTGTCCCAAACTGGCTCATTCTCTTTCTCTGTCCAACATTGATGCTATGCAAAACAAAAATGATGAAGGGATCGATGTCCCGGACTGCCGAAGGACTATTTCTGCTCCAGTTGGCCAAGCCAAAGACCTGTACACGGTAGAAAACAAATCACGTGTAGATCCCTGCAGCTCTATTGAGTCTTTGGATTTGGCACAAGAATGTGAAAGCCAGAAGTCTCTGTTGCATTTCACTGAACATAAAAAGGAGGAAGAAATACAGTCTTTAGAAAGTATAAAAAAATTACTGAACCCTTGCTTCTTATGTCATCACAGACCACGGGATGGGAATATTGTCCACGGAAGGACTGCTCACCTTGTGGCCTGTTTCAAGTGTGCAAAGATGCTGAAAAAAAAGAGATCACCTTGCCCAGTTTGCAGGAAGGAGATTGAGATGGTGATCAGGATCTTTATGGGGTAGTTGTGCCAGTTTCAGGCCTTCTCCACCAAAAGATAGCACACAGGTTTTCTTGCACTCACACAAACCCTAACTTCAGAACTCGGCCAGTGAATACCAAAGAGAATTAAGATCCGAATCTGACCAAGAACACTGAGGAATCCTCTGCATTAAATGAAGCAAAATCCACTCTGATGTCTTTTTAAATTAAAGCCCCTGGGAGCAGGCAGTGACCAGCACGTTGGTATCAATGCCCTAGCTTTGAAATTGTCTAAATCTTCTAATTTCAGCTCAGTGGTGTCACAAGGATTCTCTGTTCTGACAACTGGTCCTTGCAGAAAGCAAGTTTTGGAAAGAATTATAACTTTGGCTGTTGGAATGTTGTTCTCCAGTAAGTCAAACCCTGTGCAATGCCTTCTAAAGGGGAGTCTGCAGCTGAGATAGAGATATAGAAAAATATATATATATATATACACGTGTGTGTGTGCAGGGGTGGGAAAGAGGGTGGGAAAGAGGGTGGGAGGGAAGGGTAGACCAAGGTTTTTGCAATTTAGATAAGCCATTTCTCCAAGGATCAGTTCTCCTGAGAGCAGTGAGAAGTAAATAACCTGGTTTCTGAATTTTATTTTGTTTAGTTGAATGTAGGTTTGTTAGATAAGGTGAAAGCCCTCTTGCTCCCACACTTGAAACAAGTCCTCCCAAACTTCTAACTTCTCTCAGGTCATGTTTCAGATGAGAAGAATAGAATGTTATACTTTGCTTTGTTATTGGATCTTTTAATTTCTCTTGACTCTTTTTTTCATTTAAATACAGTTCTATGTCATCTTGCATAGCTTTGATGAAGCCTGCCCAACCTTAGCTCAGAATCTGGTCTGGGTTAAATTGTAACAGCTCTGTGCACGTTTTGGGATGTTCTTATAGCTCTGCGCTTACAGCACCATTGCAACTTCTACCTGCCTCATCAGGCCAGTCTAGATAGAAGATGCTCACTTTAGAGTGAGATGTGGCTTTAAAGACAGGATGTGGGCCTTTGAGGGGAAAAAAAATCGTTCCTGTAAAGCACCAGTTGCAGCTGGTTAGTCTAAGGGCTGTGCTTGGTGTTAGATTGTTTTTATTTTCTCTGCTGATTTTTCTTTCCCTGTGATTTTACGCTTCAAATCTGTTTGCAGCATTCACCTTCAGAGCTCTGCATCGTTGCTCTGCTGGCTGTTAACACGCAGCTAGAACTTGCAGTTTAAAAAGTCTAACCCTTTTCTGAGATCATATCCTAGAGCCTGCTCAGATCTTCCTGGGCCTTCCCATTCTCCAGGGCTTTGGAGGGCTGGCGTCCTGCAGCAGTAGCAATAGTGCCTTCACCTTTCAGGTATACAGGCATTTGAATTTAGCAGTTTTGTCATGTTCTCTCTTAATTCCCTCTCTGATCTAGGAAGTACACCTGAAGACAGAAAAAAAAAAATAGAGAAGACAGTGCTCATACCTCAGTGCTTCTCTAGGCTGGTTCCCCCTTGTTTTCCACACTCCTGGTGCTTGTCCAGCCCTAGCAGGTCACACGTGCAGTGGAAAGCCCAGAACCTGCCCGGCAGAAGGTCCCAGCAAACTGCGATGTCAAAGTTGTTTCTCTGCAAAGATATCAGAGTAGGTGCTATATGCAGTCACTGCCAAAAGTCAGGTCCACTTTACTTTTTTGCGTAGTATTGTGATTGTTTCTGTGTTGGCGATAATTTAGACTATTATTGTTGGCTGTTATTTACAGTTGTGTTTTAAAAAGGGGAGGAGAACTGTCTGGTGTTTCGGTGCACTATCTAGAAGTCCATGGGGATCAATCCACATGGAAAAGCTGACTTATTGCTCCCTTAGCTAAAGGGCTGTTAGATTGCTGGTGATGCACTTTAATCATGCTAAGATCAGCAGCGTTACCGCCTGGAATCACAGAAGGGAGTTCCTGTTAGGTAGTTTCTTCCCTTTTCAGGTAGATTCTTTCCTTTTAAGGGTCTCGGGCTCAGCAGGGTGCGTTGTGGCACTTTGTGGCACTTGTGAATACTGTGAATTCCCCCTCGCCCCGATCGCTTCTAAGAACTGAATGTTTTGCTAAAAGCAGTTTTACTGATTTGTTCAGATCTGGCCACACTGAAAAGCATGTATTTTGTGTTGAGAAAAAAAAAAACAAGTCAGAGTTTAAGTTCCAGTAATGGGGCTGAATACCCCTACCAGCATCCTACTGGGATCTGTATGCAGCTTCCATTATTAAATGAAAATCGTTTTCAGTGTGGCAGTTTGTGATAAAAGCAGATCTGCCGGATAACTTTCAGTGCAACGGTCTTTGTGTCTGTGACTTCTTGTTGAGGATAACCACGGTGTTCACAACATGGATTTGTCAAGTTCCTAATTATTTTTAACTGAAAGTTAGTGGACACGAGATATTGCCATGTTACAGTTGATTTTCCTTCCTATAGCAGAATAAGCTATTGCAGTGCGAGCACCTTGTGTGCAGCTGTAACTGCCCAGGTTGTGGCTGGGGTGTGGAGGAAGGGGGGGTGGGAGGTTTGGTGCAGGAGGAGGGGAGAAGAATGTTTTATTGCTTTAACTTAAGTCTAAATAAAGCAGCAATTTATCAAGAACTGCTCTTCTGACACTCTTTAGGAAGTGCAGGCTTGAGATATGGGTTGAAGAACTAGCTCAAAGCAGTCGGGCGCAATATTTACGTTGCAGTGCAGATGAGGGATTGGCCAGGCGGTGCCATTACTTTCCTTTTCTACGGACGCAGGAGTTAATGTGGAATGCTAATTCAGAAACCCTTTTTTTTTTGGAGGAGCTGAGCATTTCCCTGAGATGAGTGTGAACTCACGTTCTCCGAATACATCATTGGTGTCTCGTAGCGGGTGACGGTTCTTCTCTCTTAGTTTTACTGTGAAGTGCAATATGAGAGAAGAGGTCCTTGGTAATCGTTAGCAGTCCCATCTGTTAGAAGTGTTGAGCGTAGCTGTCTTTCGATGCCCAGACTAGAAAGATTTATCTGTTTCACTGCTTTTTTTTTTTTTCTTCCTTTGGTAATGGCGGTTCCTGTTTCTCAGGAACCTGCTGAAATCTCACTAGCACAAGTGTACCTGTAGGTCAGGTTTCATTTACAAGATCCCTCAGCTTTTCAGCCAGAAGTTTTGGCACCAGTCATCCCCAGAACCAGCAGATTTCTTACTTGGGTAGGTATTTAAATACAGTATGGGAACCATGAGGCTCGCAACTGTGTAGTGCCATTCTGCACGTTAGGGTGCTCTGCAGTGGGAAACCATACGTCCATGTCAACACCGGATTTGCAGCCCAGAGGTACACACATTGCATTTACTCCTGAAAGTCTTTCCAGTTTAAGTGCCTCTTTTCAGTTACTCTTGTTTACTGACACGCGCAGCACATCAGCCTTTTCTTCAAAGATCTCAGTGTCCCTCCTCTGCTGAGATGTGTTATTGAGCCAATTCAGCCTAACAAAGCCGCTGCATGATCCTTTGGAGCAGCCCCTCAGAGTGCTGCTTTCTTCTGAACGGTGGGTGTTTCCACAGAGACAGCTATGGACTTTCTGCCTGTGTTACATATTTATTGCGGTGCATGACTGTGATGGAAACCACAATGTAGCTTGCCAGGGTCTGCTCCATCCTCTGCATCCAGCATGGATTGTATCTGTTGCCGAGAAGCTGTCCTTGCAGAGCAAAAGTGGCTGTTGGACAAATGCAGGTGGAAATGGGGTGGAAAGCGAGTGTGTGAAAACCCATCAGAGTAGCTTGCTTTTGCCTGCTCACGTTCTGCCTGTTCCAAACTTCATCTTCCAGTCCTGGAAGGAAAAACAAAATGCTCTCACTAGAGGCCTTCAATGAAGGCTGACCATTTTGGAAGATGCTGTGATTAAGTGATTGAAGGGTGAGCCAGGGCACTGGTCTCCGTTCTGTCTTTCTCCATAAGCTGAGCAAGGAACTCTGAGTCCTGCACACGCTCTTTGGCCACCCGGACATCGGCAAGCAGCATCAGGGTCCTTGAAAAGGAGATACTGCGAGGCTGTTCTATCAAGAGCAAGCATGAGACCCACAGATGATATGGGGATGATAAACTGTGTGTTTGGAGCAGCTCCAAAGCACAGATGACCTTCAGACAGCAGCTTTTCTGCTCTGGAAATCAGTCGTCGGTTATCCGTCCGCAATGGCTGGAATTTTCCTTGCTCCTTTGAAAACAAGTGGGACTCTGCTTGTGACTACATGGCCAGCAGAATGGTCAGCTGCCACGAGCTGGGTTACACATCCCATCGGCTTGCTCTCTGCACCTTATTGCGATTCACACAGGCAGCTGGTGTGATGGCAGTCCTGTTTTTGTGTCCTCTTACACCCTGGCAGTGTGCACTTGCTGCCCACCTCTGTGTGGGCACCCCACGCTGAGCGGATGCTTCAGGACAACACAGCCACTGAACTCGGCAATTATCTTCAGGGTCTCCAACTCCTAGAAGGCAAAATCACCTCTGAGGATCAGTCTGAGAAGATACATGAAGGCAGGAACATGATGTACCTCTGGCAAAGATAAAGACTTGCTGTTCTGGAATGAGTGTTTTCTTGCTGGATCTCCCCAGCACCCGTCCCTGCAGCCTGGTGTTCCCAGATATGTTTTTCTTGTTTAGAACAACTCCGTGTCCCAGTGTACACCCACACAGTCACTGCAGTAACAAGCAGGAGCACTCGCTGAACAACATCTGTGTCTTTGCACTATTTTGAAAAGGCCCGTACCGCAAACCCGGGGACCTGTTTGTGTCCTGCGCGTAATGAATTTAATTAAATTGAGCGCATTCTATGGTAACGTAGGTTTATTTTTTCATTTGTACCGCGTTTCGGGGAAAACCTTTAATTAAAGGCCTGTTACCAGTTCAACAGCCTCTGATCTTCCTGTGCGTCCATCCTTCCAGAGCGGGAGAGACCCCCCCATCCCTCCCAGGGTGCCTCTGCCGTGCAGTTGGGAGGGGAGGCTGCAGCACAAACCCCTGTGTTTGCCAA